AATTCATTGTACTACAGATAGTATTCCCAAGAGAAGCAAATAAGGGAAGGACAAAGCAGTATAAGAAAGTATGAGTCCTGCTCTGTGCTTACTTTAAATTAAACAACATAAAGGAAACAAATAAGAGAAAATGACCTAAGGCCTCTTCTACCACCTACAAAATACTAGAAACAAAAAAGTAGAGAAACAAATTCCACACTACCTTCTTGTTTCCAGAAAAAAAAGCATAATATTTTCATAAAATATAATGGATAAAAAAGTATACTCAAATAGATAAAATGTATTTATATGCAATTATGTACTTTTGTACATTCTTTCTACTTAATAATCAATCTTAGATACATTTTTAATAAGTATATACAGACCTCTCTCATTCTTTTTAAAAGTTTTAAAAATTTTTTATAGTATGGTCAGTTTGAACCACAAGTCAGCATTTCATACCTACTAGCCACTCCTTGGAAACCCTGTTTAGGGTCTCCATGTTGGAACTGACTTGATGGCACTTAACAATAACATGGGTGTATCATGGTTTAATAATCAGTCATTAAAGGATATTTTGAGTTTTAATTTTTTAATTATTTTGCTAATTAATATTGGGATACACAGAAAAAGACAGTTTTGAATATCTGTGAGTATAATCAATAAAATAAATTCTTAACACTGGAGTTGAAAGGTGAGAGTTTGAAAACATTAAAGATTTTGTAGAGGTTTCCAAATTCCTTTTCCAGAAGATTGTACCATCTGTGTACATTCGCACCAGCAAGGAATGAAAGAGATGTGCTACCCTGCACCTTCTACTAGCATTGGTTATTCTCATATTTATTCATCTTTGCTACTCTAAAAAGGGAGTCCTGGTGTGGTTTATTAATGTGCTCAACTGTAAAGTCGATTTGAACTTCAAGGTTTGCAGTTCAAGCTCACCACTTGCTCCTCAGAAACCCTAGATAGGAGTGGCTATGGGTCAGAGTCCCAGTGTGGCGCTGTGGGTTAATGCACCAGACTGCAAAGCCATTTGAACTGCAAGGTCAAGGTCGGTGATTCAAGCTCACTAGCTGCTCCTTGGAAACCCTAAGCAGTGTCGCTATGGGTTGGAATTGACTGGATGGCACTTAACAACCACAACAACAACTGTAAAAGATTTGTATTGGGAAAATCTACTGTAAAATCCCTCTTTAAAGACCAAAGATTTCACCCTGAGGACTAAAGTAGACTTGACGCATGCCATGGTGTTTTCAGTTGTCTCATATTCATGCAAAATCTGGCAAATGAGTAAGGGAGACTAAAGGAGAATTGTTGCCTTCGAATTATAGTGTTGGTGAAGAATATTGAATATACTGTGAATTACCAGAAGACTGAACAAATCTATGTTAGAAGAAGCACAACCAGAAGGTTCCTTGGAACCAAGGATGGCAAGACTTTGTCTCATGCACTTTGAACATGTTAAAAGGAAGGAAAAGAGATCATGCTTGGTAGAGGGTTGGAGATAAAAGAAGAAGCACCTCAGTGAGATGGATTCACACAGTGGCTACAACAATGGACTCAAAATGGCAGAGATTGTGAGGATGGTGCATGAACTGGCACATGATTGTGTAGGACACATGATTGCTGTGAGTCACAACTGACTTGATGTACCCAACAACACCAGTCTAATAAGCAGAAAAATATTGACTTCAATGGCTCTAGTTCTTATCCATATTATAGACTAATTACAATTCCTTTTATAAAATGCCTATTTTATAATTTTTGCTATTTCTATATAAGTTTGTCTTTTATTATTGATTTTTATCAGTACTTTATAAATTTTTAAAAATTAGGCTATTTTGTCATTAACATTATAAAATTTTTCTAGTTGTCAATTAACTTTTAAGTATTAAAGTGTTTTTTTTAATACAGAAATTATTCTCTTTTGTGTAGTCTCTTATTCCATTTTTCCCTCATGACTTCAGAGTCCTTATCCTTTTATGTTCTTATCCATGGAAAGAAGAGTCTGAATTAAAACCTCAAGGTCCTTTTGTTCTTTGCAACATCCTACATAATGCCTTTAAAAATAAATGACAGAAGAATGCATTAGAACAATTACAGGGCTTTAGCAGATTTTTTTTTTTTTATGTTTTATTGTGAATTATGTGATAGTTTAC